GTACACATTGACAAGTTGCAAACATAAAAAGCAGTTAAGCAGTGCATGAGGGGAAGAGTCACCAGTGAATCACCTGTAAATAGTACTAGAATCAGTCTGGAAATACCTGTCTGTGGCAGAGCAGGTGGTGATGTGTCTCAATCACCCAACTCAAGCAGCGAGTCATTAGGGACAGCAGCAGGCCTTACCCAACTTCAGCACAGCTCCCTCTGCCTAACTGTAGCCCAACCAACACAGCCAGCCCGTAACTCCATTCCTAAAGCTTGTGCAGGAACTAGCAATGAAGTTTGTTCCTCAACCCATTCTGCCCGAACTCACGATCCAACCTGAAACACAGCTATATTCCTCACTTGAAGCTTACCCAGGTCATGGCTCTTAACTTCATTTGCTGCCAGTACAGTTGCAAAGCCTGTCTCCCCATATGTTCAAATGCCCAGCATCACCCAGGAGCAAGGACAACAGCTCCAACTCCATTCACAGTTTTCATTATATTCTCAGGTGTAGCCCAGCTCCTTACACCAGTGCTACAGCAAGGCCTCTTCTCCTGCCAGCCTGGCTTTAGCAAATCAGCTCTTTTAAACAAGTAGTGTAACCTCAAACCAAGTTACCAGGATAGCAAAGCATCCTCCACTTCTGGCCTATCCTGGCAGACCTTCACTAAGCTTAAGCCCAAACACAGTCATCTGGCCCCAAAGAGTGGAAATCAAACCTGGTCTGATTGCAATTCCATCTGAAACCTCACATAGCAACTCACCCCAGTCACAACCCTGTTTTTCAGCTTTAGGCAAATTTATATTTAACTGTAACACCAAAATCAGGAGCCCTGCTATTGTTCAGTAATAATACTGTAGGGTTTTTAAATCTCAGTGAAGGACAAATATTTAAATATTGATTAATGCTGCACATGAAATGGCTTAGCCCTCAATATGCAAGGATGATACGGTCCTATTAACCTGGAAACAGTGAGATATGAGCTGCACATGTAATTTAAAATCATATTCACTTCTACTAATGGAAATAGGAACCATTTGCTACTCAGAGTGGCCTCAAGATTACACTGCAATATAATCTTGATTTTATAATTCTGAAACATTAAAATATACTTGGGTCAAGAGTTAAAACACTATTGTATCATTTATTGAGGTCAATTGTGCCAGACACAGCTCCATATCTTATCTAATGAGGACAAGTTTAAAGTATTTTTATGTGATTCAAAAAAATCCTGAACAGAATACAGTAGTAAGTTGTGCTTCATGCTTGCAAAAAAAAAAATAAAAAAAATATTTGAACATGTTTCAGAATATCAAAGAAAGAGACAAAAGGTCAAGTACAAATCATACACTGTTTTTGTATTTCAGAACCTTTAGCTTCCTCTCACAGTTAAGTCTTGCTGAAAATAATGTTACCAGATACTGTAACAGAAAGTTTCTAAACGCTCCAGCTACAATAACACCTTCAAATCAAGGTTTTGCAATCAGACATACAGCTACAGGTTTCCCTGCCCTACAAAAACACGAGCCCAGCTTTCATTAGTCCCGATGGTTAGAGCAATTACTTGGCATTACCTGAAGCTGCAGAGGGTTCCTATTGTCACTAGCTAAAACAGAGGGTGGTCAGTTAAAAACCCTGCCTAGGTAAGAACAGCTTTCTCATGGGAAATACCATAAAAACAGGAATACTCCCCACTGTTTAAAAACACACAGAGAAAGTAACTCCACACTCTCAGAGAGGAGTCGGAATCCTCTCTTTATAACTAGATACATGTGAACAAGCCCTCCTAGATTTCCATGCTATTCCACTAGACATTTTGTATCAAATTCCAGCATCTCTAGAAGCCTTACCTGTTCTGACCATTTTACTGCTTTTTCTGTTAAATATCTGTATACAACAGGACGTCCCACTAGGTATGAAAGCATATAGCAAAATGAAGCTCCAAGTCCTGAGCACTGAAAAAAAAAAAAAAAGACAACAAATGAGCAGAAACTCTAATTAATCTCAGCCTTGTATCCCTATTAATTACACCAGGGGGCTAGAGCCTGTTTCCATTCAGCCCTCTATCAGTATGTACATGCTCCCTAAGAATGCTGTTGACCCAAGACAGTTCCCTTATTTCCAAAGGCATTTAGATCAATCTTAACATTCCAAGTAGAAAACTTTGACTACGTATCAGTTAACACTGAGTGCTTCTGCAGTTTTAAGATTTTGAATAGTAAAAGCTTTGCAAATAAGGGGCACAGTGGCACTAAAGAGATTCAAACCTGAAAATTCAGCCACATGGTCCTCCCTACCTACTCAATCACTCAATAATCTCAATACTAAGGCACATTACAACTGCTTCTTTTGCATGTCTTTCTTGAAGTTTGTCGATAACATACATTTCAAATCTTAAATTAAGCTTCTTGCACATTTAAGCCATTTAAATTTAAAAGATGCATTTCGCAGTGCGATAATAAAACCACAGTAATTGTGTTCTGAAATTACAACTGGGTTCTGGCAGATGGTAAACAAATTTAGAATAAAGGAAGCTCTGGCTGATTCACACTCGAATGCCTTGGTTATTAAGAAAACTTGGAGAAACAGCTTAATGTTTTGGATCATCACCCCATGCTACGGTGAATTTTGTGGATAACACCGTTCTCACAGCAGAGCTAAATGAGAACTCATTTGTTTGCCAGAAACTGAAGTATATCCCTGTTTTGCTCAGACAGGAAGCTGCTCACATGCTTGGTTGTATTCCAAAGAGATAGAAATACATGCCCTCACAAGCTATCTTCCATACTTACCAAACAAACAAGAAATAAGGCCAGCGGAAAGGGATAAAGAAACCCTGACAGGATACTGAGGAATATAGACCCAGGAATAGCAAATGTTTGCAAGCTGGATGCATTTTAGTCAAGGAGAAAAACATTTTTAAAAAGCTACCCACTTCTTAATTTTCCAAGCATTCAAGATACATGTTACCATGTCGATAAATAGGCACAGCCTCTCAAGATCCTTGCTTCAACATACATTTGTGGAGTAGCACAAGAAGCTCAAGCACAGAGCAACAAGGGGTAGATTCATCATTCTATATACAAAAAATAAGTCACTACATAAAAGCTGACTATATTTTTCTCTCCATCTGTGCTACAACTGACACTGGGGATTTATTAGGACTTCCAGGAAACACATTCTTCTGATTTTACATTGTTTACTACAGATGAGCGGTTTCAGATATTCACTCTGACAAGTTCACAGGGCTGTCCAAGCCCATAATTACAAGTTTCATGGAAGACTGAAATGTATGAAGGCAGCTGCTTCCTTACAGGTAGGCATGGTGTAATCACTCATTACAGTACATGATCATTAATTTCAGTCAGTGATTTTCAAAAAGGCAACAATTAAGTTTCTGCAGTATAAACCAATAGGCAGTTGAGCTTCAGGCTTGCCAGGCACACTTGAGACTATGAGGTATTGCCCACTTTGGATAGAAAAGTTAAAGCAAAAAAAAAAATAAAATCTGCACACTACTTTATCTGAGTTGAATTGACCTAAATATTAAAAAGCCAAATAATCTTCCTGGAGTCCATTACAATCAGTACAGCTTCTGCTAAGCAAGTGTCAAGGTTCGGAGATAACTGGAACACGCCTGTCAGTGGATCACAGTCTACTGCTGCGACAGTGAGTGTCGTCACATCAGCTGCTACAGTAGACCAATAAACAGCCAATTCTATTCTACTTCTTGTTAATATATAAACTAACATTTTAATTTTCTTCCTAAACCCATTATTGGTGAAACACACTTTAAAAGAATAAGATAAAGGATAATCACTGATGGCACATTCAGTGCTGTCTTTCCTGAGTTATGAAAGCCTTCTGCACGAAAACTGTGAAACGCACCTCTTAAACAGCTTTTGAAGTTATTAACCTTTAGTTAAGTGTTCCAGTTAATGATTAATTAATATATTCAGCACTCAGGAGAAAGAAGTTGACACAGAACACAGGTAGCCTTTGTGTCACGCTGGACAGAAAGTACTTCAGAAATCCAGCTCCCTCTAAAAGGAAACAGAGATTTGGTTTTCTGAATGTGGGCACTGCAGAGACGAGAGGCGGCTCAAAACACTTTCCTTCAGAAATGTTGTTAAATATTCTGTAAATTACCCTCATATGGCACTTTTGAATGTCTCAAGGAAAAGCAGTGTAATAGTCTCAGTTTTCCTATAGAATCACAGTAATTTCTAACTCAAAATTCAGTTTGCAATTTATAGAGTTAGCATAGCACTAAAGTGAGACCAAGCTTAATACCACAGATAAGAATACTGTCCATAACAGACACAGTAAAGATGAAGCTGCTTCCCCAACAGCATTTACTACTATAAATGCATACATCAATTTCTTTCTACACAACCCTTTCTCATAGTCCTAAAAACATACTGGAACACTCAATAAAAGTTTTTAAGTTCAAAGATTTTAAAATATTTGTGTCTATTCATAAACACTCCCAGGTATGTTCAGCTTTTTCATCCACGATCAAGAATTTATAAATTCTTATTTTTCCTTTAGTGTTTCAGAGAAGTATGGCTACATCAAAACTGCCCTTTGTGTCTGAAAAAGGATACAAAACATATGTGGCAAAATAAGCCACTAACACTTGAACGTAAAACGTGTCCTTATATTTGGACAGGACTTTTCCCAAGGCCTTTGCATCATCCATATCTCTAGGAACCTTTATACATT